TACTATACACTAGATTTTGTTCCGCGTTAAACGCGGGATTAGATTATTCGAGAAGAAAAGTTCATGTTTTTTATAATACACGGAAGAAATTAAAAATAACAAAGAACAAATGGTTTATCTCCCATGTAGATAAATATATTTTATCTTACAAAATTTAATTTGCATGACACTTAGATTAAATATAAGCATTTTTTTATGTAAATCGAATACGTTTAAAATTATCAGTTCTTTCAAACTTATTTGAGGTCACCAAAACCAAACAAAATATTGCGTTAATATGTAAAAATATTTTCACATAAAAAGTTAAAGAAATAATAAAAAGTGAAAATGATGATTTTTTGAATTTGTAAAGTTATAAGTTTATAATAAAAGCGCAATTTTAATTAGAGTAATATGGATACAATTAAGCGATATAAACGAAAAAAATTGTATGATCAATCACATATGGTATCCAAATGGACATTAATACAATTTTTATAAAGTAATTGATATTCGCAAATGATTCGCCTAAAAAAATTTATGTTATATAACATTTTAAAATGTCACATTTTAGTTGGATTTAAATTTGTAACACATGTATTGTGAGTTGATGTTAGAAAATTAATGTAAATATGAAAAGATTTTCAACATGACATATAAACTTAATTGAAATATTTTAATTGGTTAATTTAATTTATGTGTCCCTTAAAACTCTCATATTAACATATAAATATATATATTTTTTAAAATCCTCCATATTAATTACCACATATATGCTCCCATATTGGTTTGATGATTATGTATTGTATATATGATATAAATCGGTGGATAATTAGACTAAGATACAGTTGAGCTCTTTTAATTATTTGTATAATGGTCCATGTCATTAAAAAAATATAGTCCTCATTAGGTGATCCTCAAAATCTTCTTTGAGTAACTCCTAAATTTTTTCATCTATTGTCTCTTTAATTAATATATTATACTAGTGATTGTCCACGCATTGCATGTGGCTTGAAATTAACATGATAAAATATGCAATACTTTATAGTGTATTGATTATT